TTCTAATATTTTTGTTGAGCACAAAATTTATTGCAAATAAAGTATTGGCATGACTTGCCGAAAAGGTTAAAAAAAAAAAATCACTTTTAAATATTCTATATTTTGTTTTTTATTTTTATTCATTATATCAATTTTGTCTAATATCGATAAAGATATCAATATGGACATAAATAACAATGAGCTTGATAACACACTTGACTGTGTTCTAGATGCAACAGATAGCATCAGTCAAGCATGAGAGAATATTGATGATGATATAAAAGAATCTTTAGAAGAGGTAAAAACTTATTATCTTCCAGTAGACAAATATGAAAGATAGATCAAAGATCTTGAAAAAGCAAGCTTTAGCTATTATTAATATGATCATTGAGCTAATTTAGATACAAAAAGAAAAAACTTGTAGAGCGAAAGGTAGTATTGTCATTATTATAAAGCCTATAAAAGTATTACTAAAAAAAATATTAATAAAAAGCTCTGATTGAAGCAAAAAGTAATGAAAAAATATAAGTGCAAAAGCTATATTCATATTGTATTTCTTGTTAATTCATTAATAGTAACTTCAAAATACTATTATAAATATCATAACTATTACTCAAATAAACTATTAAATTTATGTATATTACTTCTTTCTAAAAACTTTTGACAGTTTATTCAACAGCATGCTTTTAAAAGATTAGATATTTTTAGCATACAGAAGCTTATACAATATTAGACAATCGAGTTACAAAATCAGGTTTTTTTTAAATTATTATTATTATATTTTATTATTTTAATTTATTATTATTATTATTATTGTTATTATTTTTTTAGATTATATTTTATTTGACAATAGATATTTAATTTTGATAAAAAATTATTTAATATATCGTGTAGAATTTGTTGTTATATTAATAATTCGAAGAGTTTCTAAAAACAAAGCACCCAAAACGCTTTAACCGATCGTGAAGAGTTGCTAAATAGTCGCTAAATTAAAGAGAATTGCTAAACATTAGTATTAAAATTCGAAAAAAAATTTTAATAATGTAATTATTACGAAAATAAATTAAATTCGTAATGATAGTGCGGCGCATAACAATGATTATCCAATGATTGTATTCAACCAATGGGAACTTGGGGGGAATTAGTAAACCCACTCAAATAACGCTTGCGTAAGGACCGATGCATACAAGTTTCCCTGTACAGCACTCATACGTATCATTATTGTCATTACTGCATTAGCGAAGATATATACATTATTACATAATCAATTACCGAAATCAAAAACTTATCGAATCGGTCAAACAATCATTCGGTCAATTTTTTTACTAAGATGTCCCAAAAATATTGAAAACAGCTGTAATAGGATTATGACATTCCTAAAAGTTCCGATGTAGAAAATGAACGACCAAAGTATTCCGAAATTTTAATAAAAAATCGACTAAGCCGGCTAAGCCGGCTAAGCCGATAAAATTTTATCGGCTTAGTCGGTCGAAAAATTTTGATTGGCCAGGATCACTAGTAGCGAGCACTTCTTGAATGAGTTAAAAAAACAAATAAAAAAGATCAAATTTTAATAAAAATTCGGAAATATCAGCTTATTTAGGGGTCTTAAAAAAAGCCCAATTCCACAAATCCGCTGATACGAGTCGGTCTAGACAAGCGATGCATCGTACTGATGATAAATGATAACTCTCTAAATATAATAATATAAAATACTGTAATAATGAAATAAAATATAAAAACTCATTTTAAACCTGATTTACTCAAATTGTCTAAATGTAAAAATGGCCCTTTTAATAAAAAAACACACCATATATACATTACAATATGTAAAATAGTATTTATAATAATCATTCTAAAAGATATTTTTTTTATATATCTATTATCCGTAATAAAACTTATTAAACTCCTAATTCTACTTCCGATTTTAAAATATATAAAACTGTTAAATTTTTAATGCTAAATTAACGCTCCAGAGAATTACATAATTTATAACAAAGCTAAAATTAATATTACGCCTTTCCTAGTCTTTTATTTAATTCAACTATCATATCACTGCGTTTTATGGAAGAACCACCACCTTCTCCTTGTTCTTTAGATCTCATATCTTTAATCCTAACTTCACCACGGCTTAATTCATCTCGACCAATAATGACAGCAAAGGGAATCTGATCACGATCACATACTGAAAATTGAGGTTGTAATTTTGGCTTGTTTTTGTACATAAATTCGGCCTGTCGAACGAATATTATTTAATTAAAAAATTTAAATTTGGTCACTTATATCAGATCAAAAGATACGAACCTTAATTCCAGCATCCCATAGTTCAGCACATATCTTCATTCTATCTTCCAATAATCCGTCAGCAACAGCCATTACATAAACCTCAACTTCGTTTGCCTTGACTTGCTCGAGCGCAACTTTTTGCAGCAAAATAGAGAAAACTCTTTCCACACCTATAGAGACGCCAACACATGGTATGTTACCTTTTTTATTATTGGCAAACATACCTACAAGGTTATCATAACGACCACCGGCGGCAATAGAACCCACACCAACTGTTGTTTCGTCAAGCTCATCTGAATCTTTTTTAATCTTCCGAATAATTTGCCTTCCATCTTCGCTCTCTGATACATAAAATAAAAGAAATAAATAAGATGTAATTTTTAACATTATTGCAATAAACTTTATTATTATGTCGTTACTTGGTGGTCCAGATTGTTCAGTTACAGCTTCATAAATAATGCCAGTATAATAATCTAGTCCTCTAGCGAGGCTAAGATCAAAAGAAATCTTTGAATATAAATAATATATTATAACAATGGTGAATAGTTAAATACATATACAAATCGGAAATCGCAGTAATAAAAGCTAAGAAATACTTGAAGCGAATAAGAAATACCTTATCTAATACGCCGAATATTTCTAAATACTTAAAAAGAAGGACCATGTCATCTAACCCAACTTTAGCATTCTTATTGGAAACTAATAATTGGTCTAGGAACAATTTATCCAAAAGCTCTTTATTGCCTTTAAAAAAAAAAAAAAAAAAATTAGTTAATGAAGTTTTTGCAATTTTAATTTAAAACTTGAAGTTGCTGCAATATGAAACGTACCTTTTAGTTTAACATATTCTCCTATGCAATCAGCGATTTTAGGATCTAATCCTTTCTCTTCTGTCATTTCCTTTTTGACATCCTCCCATGGTAACTAATAAAATCAAGTCACGTCAAAAAAGCACTAAAAATACAGTATGTTAGTGTTTGTACTAAATTAGCACTATCTACCTTATCTAATTTATCTACAGCAGAAGATATAGGCCTGATAATTGAGTCTGGAACCCCGCATACTTGAAAAATACCATCCAATATTTTACGGTGATTTATCTGAGAATAAATATAAATTTTATGTTCCAGTCAAGTGGACATTTCACTTATAAATAGATGTATAAAAAAAAGCATTACCTTAACAGTGTATCTACCAATATCGAGAGCTGTTAAACATTCGCACATGATTTTCACAACTTCTGAATCAGCAATCATTGGATCATAAACACCAGCTATGTCAAAATCCTATAAAGTTCTTGTCGCATAAAGAAAAATGAAATTTATTTAACCCTATAAATTTTTAACCCATTTTTCAACTTACACATTGATAAAATTCTCGCATACGGCCTTTTGTCATGGCAGGTTGATCTCTTCTGTAAACCTTTGCAATTTGGTATCTTTTAATATTTTGATATTGAGAACCATTCATAGCTAAGAATCGGGCAAAGGGGACCTAAAGAGATCAAAAACAATGAGATGTGTAAATTATATTTGTCTAAATATTCTTACGCGTAACAATTTAAATAAGTAACTAACAGTTAAATCATATCGTAGAGAACACTTTTCACCACCTTGATCTTCAAGATCGAAGATCAATTTACTGTCTTCACCATATTTTCCAGACAAAATTTCTTTTAATTCAAAAACGGGAGTATCAATAGTGACAGCCCCATGTTTCTTGAAGATGGAGATAATTGTAGAAAAAATATTTTCACGAATTGCCATCTCTTTTTCATTATAATCACGAGTACCCTATGTTAATAAAGATTAGAATTCTTACAATATATAACACGACAGAGTAAATGCATTCTGTCAAACTTTTAGATGATACTGGGGATCTTTTACGTGAACGTCCCGAGAAATTTTCGGAATCTAATACAGGGTTAGCAGTATGAATTAAAAATTACCTTTGGCGTTTTTAGGGTGAATTTGGTTTTACTCTTTGTGGCACTGTCTTCGCCAATTAAAGAAGCTAATTGTTTTTTTAAATCCAGAAGGGTGGCAACTTCGGTTTCTACAGTCTTTTGGTCAGTCTTTAGTAATTTTAATGCCCGAATCTTTTCGCCTTGGAGTTTGATTTTAGACTTGAGCTCCTGTATTTCCTCTTCATCAGGCTTTAAACCGTCAGTTTCCATTTTTACAGTTGCGAGAAAATACAGTTGCGAATAGCAGCCTCATATATAAGATTTTTCGCGGATATTATTTCGTTGATTATCTAATATATAGCGATAGCCACTAAATTTAATTAACAAACCACGTGTTCGTTCGAATTTTCATAGCCACATGGTTTTTTTCGGCAGCTAAGCCAGGATGATTTCCTGCGGCGTGATAAGTCTGAATTCTGCACGTTCCGTTAGAGGCGTTGTAAGGGGCAAAATCACACACTTCGATACTGCGTCTATCCCGGAAAATGATCACTATCGAATTTCGAAATTTTCAAAATTTTGATAGTTTCGAAAACTTTGAAAATTCAAAAAATTGAGTAAATTTCGGAAAGTTAATGAATTTAGAAATTTTTTTTTTTTTTTTTATTGTTACAGTAGTTTATATTGTCGAAGAGATTTTATTAGTTTTGCATATGGTGCATGTAGCCTAGAACCGGAGTCACGTGATTTAAATACATATATCTTTAAAAATTATTTATAATTAATGAATATATATATACATTTGAAAAAATCTCTTTGTAAATTGATGCTACAAAACTAGTACTTTAATATTACAAAGAGATTGTTTATTTAAACATACTAGTTCCAAATTTATTTACTATTAAATTCGAAACAATTTAATATTAATACTAAAATTTGGTCACTATTTAATATAGTAATTCGCCAAATATGTGAACATATTCAATGATTCGCATCTCTAGTTATATCATATAATCGTTTGGATTAAAGCTATTTTCTATTTATATCAATATATTAATTGTTACATACTGTTTATTGCTATATTTACGAACATACATACTGTACGTACGTATATACATATATATATAGCTGTTCTTTTCTCGGCCAATCTCCTAAGTATATAGTCAAATTTATTTGATTTAAGCAAGATCAGATATTATATCCAATATCGATAATGTGTTAAATAAGTACCGCAAGACTAAAACATCCAAATCTTATCTAATAAGATTTGCATGTTTTAGTTTTGTAACATTCAAATATAGTGTAATTTAAATAAATACCGTTTTCTTTGAATACTAACAATTTTAAGTTAATAAACAGGCTGTTTTGTGAAGCAGAACATCTAACTTATTAAATATATAGATTCAAGTCTTAAGAATGAATTCAGTTTGCAATTCAAAGCAACTCTCTAATGTAATTTCATTATTAAATTCATAACTATTGAAGGGACTTCATTTAGTTAACATCTTCAATATAACAGCTCCAAAATCATAACTATTAAATAAATAACAATATCTAAATTCATAAAAACAACTTTGCAAATAATTTTTATTAATAATTTTAGATTTAATCTTGCATATTTTACTAATGTTTAAGTATTATCTTTACTATGAATTAAATCAAGATTTTATGATGTATTTACGTTTTAATAATTTTGTTTAAACTTTCGATACTGCATATGATATACTATCAGGTATTTATTTTTTTATATTTTAAATCAATCTGTATATTTTAAGCTCATTACCCAAAATTTAGAATAGGATAAGGTATTAATTACAAAGATACCTAGTAGTTCACATATTCTTATATTAAAAAATTAGATCACGTATTATTTGTATTAGTATAATCTACTTTATCTTGTTTTTTTTTTTTTTTTTTTGTTATTAAAGTCACTTTCTTGGTCGATTAGATTTTTATTAGTTTGTTATTATGGAACTATTATATGAATAGTTTTCTAAGGTTTTATAGTTACATGATGAGTATACAACAAGCTACACATACAACTTTAGTCATTGTCTAATTTAAGTAGTC